CCATCCGTTTCTTACTATCTTTATCTCATTGAAACCTCTAGTCACGATTTGCAAAGTTGTGTGCAATAAATTTTCAATCTACAAATCGTTTTGTTGCTTTGTACTCACTCCATTAAAGTGTTGCATTATTAAGTTAATGATGATTTTTTTATAGTGAATTGCAATTAGATATCAAGTTGTTGTAACATGAAAGAAAAAAAAAATTATTCCCGCAAGATGTGCACCTTAACTGCATTATGGACAAGTGAAAATAATAATAAGAAAAATATCTACAATTTAATTTAATTCTTGAAATTTCAAACCTCTTCATTCAATGATTTTTTTTTTCAATCTCATATGGCAAACTGGTTTGATGAGCTCGTGGCGACAAAAATGCCAAACATAAAGAAGTATTTTTTTTCCATCTTCTTCTTCGTGGAACTGGCAAGAATGCCAATAATATCGAAACAAGTCTCAATTTTTCAAGTGTAATTTGACATTCATTAGCCCGAAAAAAACATATTTTAAGGAACGAAAAACGCCAACGATTTGTAAAAAATAATTATTATTTTTATAGAACCTGCTGTACAAGCAAGAATATTTATTTAGTCATAAAATAACATAACTGCTCATTTTTAATGCATCGAAATTTAATATTTACCTTCATGGTCAAAATGTAATATTTAGTTGAGCTTTAATTTATAAAAACTTTTTTAAAATTAATAGTGCTATGTTTGGAGGTATTAATAAATATCAATAACTGATATTTACAGTTTTATTAATTCCATGTAATATGTTCCATATGCACATATGAAAAGAGATTTTGAAAATTTTTTAAAGCCACAAAAAGTTATAAAAAGGAATTAAGTGACATAAAAAAATTGTTTTGAATCAACAGGGGACGATGAGATAAATTGTAAATTCTTCCGGGATTTTGCAAATTGTGGTCAATAAATTTTTGTCACTTACGGTTTTGTGGTGAATTTATTTTGATGTGGTAATAAATTGGGCATTGAATTTTGATATTGGAGATTAAAATATTTATTCTGATGTATGCTGTTATGAGGTTTAAGCTTGCTAAATATGGATGTTTGTGGTTTTTTGAATTTATTACTAGAGCTTACTTGATCGTTTATTATTTTAACCTTCTCACTCTCAATTTCATAGTATTTAGATGACATAATCACATTTATCCTTTAAACCATTTAACTGATAAGCTTGAGGGGTTTATATCTGTCTAAATAGGACCATTTTTTGAATTAGCATTAAGACGCCCTTCGAGTCAGAATACTTGACGTCATAAGTTTATGAACCCAAAAACACACTCAATCAAAATCATAAATCTCCAAAAAAAACTCTCAAATTCTCTCAAGCAAACATCATCAACCAAAATAATCATAAAAGGTTCCCATCATATTATTCAAACTAACTTAAGCTTACGACTAAAATCATTAAAACTCATCTCAATGCTTCAAGCTTCACTGAACTTTAATAGCTGATATCAATTTTATAGTTTTATAATCGTAAAGTCTATCACAAAAAATTTCTATTCATCATCGATGATAATCATAGGCTTTAAATCCGATAATCTCATCTTATAGACTTCAAATTACAACAACTCATCCAGTCGCTTTGCCTCTGAATTTCCATATTACTTTTATTGTAGTTTTATATAAAAGATAATAAATTGGTGAACTTAAATAATCCATAGGCAATTAAAACTATTCTATGCTTGATCTTTTTGGGACTAATCGTTTAAAAATCATAAAATTCGATTTTTATGACTTTTTCCTGAGAATTGTGTTTATTAATAAGAATCAATATTATTTGGGAAGTTTTTCACAGTTCATTTAAATGTGGCGCTTGTCGATTAAGATAGGTTAATGACATAAGACATAATTAACTTTTGGGAAATGATTGTTAATTGGCCGTAATAACATGTCACGTCAAACATTCATTAAAATGAGGAATCCATTATTGGCCATTATTATTAATTATTTTTATGACACCATCTACGTTTAATTGCGAAACAGGTAGCAATCTCCTGCTGATCATTTTGTAGCTACTTTGACAGCTACTTAGATGAGTTGTATCGAATGACACAAAAGAATTTTTTCTCGGTAATTTGAGAATGAACAGGATTGAATTGTAGTTGGAATCTAAATAATAAAACACTCGAATTTAAAGGAAACCCAATAATTTCTGAAGGATGAGGTTAGACTTTTATATTTCCATTACGACACATCACCTCAAAATCACGTCCGATTCATTAAATCCATTAAAATTGCATTCAATTAGTTGGAATAAAAAATCATAGACAAGTTTGCAAAGTTCAATGAGTTTAAAATCACTCAGTAATTTCCAGAAGCAATTTAGTTCAATTAATTGAGTTTATATGGAAGTAATTCAGAATTAAAGTGACTCATTCATGATCATGCAATAACATACCGATAACATTCTCAATTAATTCAGATTGCAATCAATTTAAGGTCAATTGGAATCCATAGTTCAAAGTAGAACATGTATGTTTACTTACTTTAATGAATTATAGTTGCAATAATTTATAGGATTTTTGTTATTAAAAGTTTCTGCTAATTTGACAGAAATGTCACGACTTTTTGCTAGTTATGTGGATTTTATGGTAGGGAAGTGACTTTTAAGGTTGAGAACGTCATGAATTGTTTGAAATTTTGGAGTAAAAATGTGATAATTGCTTTTATAGAATCGTCTAGTAATTTTCCATCTTCTCCTTCCTGAATGTCAATATAAAATTTATATACAGCTCAAACATCAGCAACAATTGATTTATTCATCATTTTATATCATCAATTAATCTTCCACGTTAATTACTCTCAAGGCTAAATCATTCACTTTATGTGATGACAAATACGACCTGATGCACCTTGATAACATAAATAAAAGAATTTCAGCATTTGCTGTTCACAATCTTCAATAAAGAAGCATGCAAACATAACTAAGCATTAAGCATTAGGAAATTAAAATATTTGCACAAGTTTAGCAAGGTTGGATCGTCTTTGTATGTCGAGTTTAAGATCAAATGATCAATAAATCCATTTTTAGCTTCAAAGGTTGATCAAAAATCATGTCTGTCCGAAAATTTGGTACTTTATGGACCCCAATAATTATAAAATATGCATTAAAAATTGAAAAAGTCTTATTTAAGCCATCATTTGTAAACGACCCCAATATTATGTCAAACATTTAAAGATTATTGAACAAAACGTTTTCCACATTTTTTGCAAATCGTCTATTGTTTTGTAAAACAGTATAAACTCAAGTATTTACTCGATAATAAATTGTTCATAAGTCCATTCATGAAGGAAACAATGAAAATTGATAATAAAATAATTATTTTTCACTTCCTTTGCATTTAAATAATTAAATATTGCAATATTTTATCACCAATGTCCCCCCAGAACAATTAAAAGGCGTCGTAAATTGCCTCTTATCGCTCCAAAAAAAAGACCTTCTTACTTTAATTAAACGACCATGAAAGTCGCTCCTCTGTCACACACGTTGTCACACACATATGATAAGATTAATCACTGGAAGAGCTGAACAGAGAAAAAAAAACATATTTTAAAATAAGAAACTGAAGAAACATCAAGTAATGCCGCTACAATATGCGATGTTGTTTACATTTCGTGGAAATGAAATAAGAAAAAATTATGCTGTACAGCATTAATAATTCATGATGCAGCACAATTGTTTGTGAGATTTCACCCTCATTAATTCCGTTAAAAATTATTCTTTTTTCTAAACAACTTTGTTTATTTAATGCAACAACGTGTAAAGTCATCATCGACAAGTGATCTCGTACGAGCCGATGAACAGCTTGAAACCTTTAAACTCTAAACAAAAATTTCTTTCTGTATTGATTTAAAAAAAATTAAAATGAATTTAATTTAATTTTCATCTCAATAAATTACAATTTTCTTTCTCATTCATGATAAGAAACTTTTGCTGCTGATGCTGATGAGAAGAAACGCGCTTTGTATTTAATATGAAAAAATAAACACCGCACAGACATTTTGGAATCGCTTTTTTATTGTTCATAATGTTTTTTCTTCATTTCGTTATCTAATCAATATTTTTAGCGCTATTATGTCAGTCTGAATGGCTCTTGATTATTCATTTTGTCTTCCTAGTTGAATGCTCTTGTTTGCGAGTATCTAAAGATGTAGGAAATGAATGAATCTTTCGGACAATCACATCCAATGTTTATGATTCTTGTCACATTCGGAGAAACAAGAAACGATTCATTAAATTTGGAATTTTCGCATTTAAGAGGTGTTTGGTTTAAAATGAAGTTGTATGTCAAATGTGAATCTGTTGTCATTGAATTTGAAATGGAATAAGCGAGAATTTTTGCAGATGACATAATTTAGTGGATGTTGAATTTTAAACTGCGTATTTTTTGTTAAGATTTTGGATAAAATTGCGACTTTGAGGTCTCTGATGGCAGTTTCTCTTGAATTCCTTAAGATCTAACTCTTAAAGTATCAATATTAAAGAATTTAACCATATTTTAAGCATATTTGGATCAAGAAAGGAAACCAAACTCCTTAAATTAAGAATTTAAGTTATTGTCTTGATCTGCTCCATCTAAATTTAAGTCTCCAGAATCAATCTACATTGCATAATAATCAAAAATGCTTCTTCACTTCAAAAATCACAATTTCTTCTCTTCTTCCAAACTTATCATTTTCATTCACGATGATTGAAATGTGTACAATAAATTGTATATGGGTCGACACCCATCACATCATCAGTTCAATATCGAATGTGCTCTTTATTCATCTCATATCGCTCCATCACACGATGTGTGTGAGTTATGTGCGTATTAATGTCAAAAAAAACTTCTTATTCTTTATTCAGTTGTGATGTCAGATGAAATAAAAATAAATTTGAATAAAAAACTTTTTGGCCTGTGAAATAAACAGATTAGACATAAATCAGAATTTGAATTTGTGACTGTGAAAAATTTATTATCCTAAAAGACAAGAATGGCAATGGTTAAAGCCCAAATACCAGAGGGCTATGCCACAATTCGACGAAGCAAGAGTCGAGCAAAAAAATTTCGGTGTACATCAACGTCCTCAAACGAGACAACCATATCGACTACAATAACGACAAATCATCAACAGCCGCAACACTTTGAGATGATTGATATGAATGAACGGAATTCAATTAACCGAAAGTTTGAGTCGGATATAGTGTATAGTAATGGAAACATAAAGAATAAAAATAATGATATATTCAATGATGACGATGAAGGCGTAATAAATGACATTGAGACAGATGGTGATGTATTCTTAAGAAATAATATTGAAAATGAGAATGATGATGATGATATTTATGGAACTAACAATAAGAGACGAACGTTTCAAACATTTAAGCCTAAAGAGAACATCGGGAGTAATGTTGATGTCAGTCAACAGATTAGAAATAATATCATCAGTAAAAGTAGTCGGGATTTAAGTCATTCAAATGATTATATTCAATCGTTACCATATGACTTGCTTATGTCACCGCTCAAGTCACCACAGTACATTAATCAACTAAATGCAATGCGCAATAATAATAATAACATAATAAACAATAATAATATCAACAACACGAGTAAATCAATAGCGATAATGAATGGAAATGATGCAGCTGTACGTCAGCAACAATTTCCGTTATATTCACGACCAGATAGTCCGAAATATATTAAGTTATTTAATAATAATCGTTCGACATCACCGTCAGCCGATAGCATGGATAATTGCTCATCAAACTCATCTACAACATACTCACCAGCATACCTGACCAATCAACAGCTACAAACGATAACAACAACACAAATAACGTCATTCATGAATCAAGATGATGATAATTTAATATTAATCGATAGTCGAAAGCCACCGACAGTGAAGAGCAACAGCAGTTTGGGATATCGAAAGTCATTTAGTCATATAAATCGTGCCCATCATCAGCAACAATACACGAATGGAAATGGTGAAAATAATAATATTAACAATAGAAAACATAATGGAAGTTTTATGAGCTGTAAAGCGACTAATAGTCAAGAATTCATAAATGGCTTTGAAAAGCCATCAATTAGTACATTAACAATGACAAAATCACTTGCAATGCCTTCAATATCCACATCGAATTTATACACGAGACAGCGTTTTGCGACTCTCGCTCATCCCAAAGAGAAGTCATTGCATGGTGCCAACACGAAATCAACATCATCATTGAATGAGAGTCACGTTTACTGGGATCCCGTGTTGGATAGTAAAATTGGATCGCAAACAACGTTGAGACACAAACCAGCAATACCATGGTGGGAAATTGCATGCAAAAAGGAATATCGACAGAGCTGTCCACCAATGCAGGTCAATATTTTTTATTTATTTTTATTTTTTTGATATTTTTTTTTTATTATTTACGTCGAAATATTCTGTATTCACAACCAGTTTCGTGTTTCATTCTCACATCTCAGAGAAACAAATTGATTCTTATCGAATATAAAAAATATATTTTTTTATCTTGGAAGGAGCCATAAAAATGAGAAACAAGCATATCTTGAACACTTGTGTGCCCAAAACATCCAATTTACCATCTTTTTAAAAATGATGATATTCTAAAAAAGAGTCGATAATAAGCAAATATATAAACACACACATGCACGGTGCTATGAGATAATACAATTCTTCGTGTCTAGCCAGTTTTTAATCCTCATGAGTTTTAAATTACCACAACCACGTTTCTATTTATTTTTCTATATTTTACATTATTCCATTTTGTTAAGAATTGAATATCCATCACCATTAGGTGTCTAAAGATAGAATGAAGTAGTGAAATGAAAGAAAGAAATAATAATTTTAGAATTATTGATTGATTTTTCTGGAGCGCATTTGACTGGCATTTTTTGATAAGATTCTGTAATTAAGGCTGATTAGATAAAAACAAGATGTAAGAACAAACATAAATAGAAGCGTGTAAGACGATAATCCCTTGATTATAATTAAAAATGATTTAGAATTCATATCTTTCGGTTAATCCTGGTTTTTACAGTAATTATTGGGATCATGGGTATGTGTTTTATCAAATGTTAAGGCTGATTGATCAGACTGCTTGACAGTTTCTAATATTTTTAAATTCTACGGTTTAGAACAGAATTCTAGATCTACATGTATGAAATCAATTAGATTTGAATTGATTTTTTCTCCACAAAATCGAGTTGAAATCAGGTTTTGAGAATGATAGGCTCGATTTTTTTTTTCCTAATTTCCACAAATCCTAAACTGGAACTAATTTCTTGTCCTCAAAAAATCACAAAGAAATCAAACAAGATACCAAACTAATCCATTTTGACAACCAAATCTCCTTCAAGCTTTTAAACTTCTTTTCTAATTACCCCCACACCCAATTCTAACAGCGCCACTCATTCGATGCATTAGTCACCAATATAGCGGATTTTTAAATGAAAACAGAAGCAGACTTGATGCTGATTTTAATTAATATAGTAAAAATACGGGTTTTTCTGTATCACTAGCGGCGAAATTAATTAATCGAATGATTAATGAGAAATTAATCATTAAATTAAATTCCTAATTAATTAATAAGACATGCAAAGAGGATTTTGAAAATTTGTTTTAATTGAGAATGATGTTGTGTGTCATATTAAGTTTGAGTTGTGAGGTGTGCTTACCAAGGAGTAGCTATTTTGATAACTTTGAATAATTTTTTTTGTAAAATCTAGAAATATCTAATCACACAACCCAAAATCATAAAAATCAAGACAAGCTGAACTTCCGAACCATCAATTATTCCTCCACACTTCATAATTCTCAAACTTCTTCATTACTCATTTCATTCTACACTCTTAATCATTTTTAAAAGTGCTTCACCAAACAGCACATTATGAAATGGAAGAAAGCATATCAGTAGACCTCAACTAGTGACTCGACTAGTGAGAAAGATACAAAAGTGTATAATTAAAATCAAATAATAAAGCATAGAACACATTTCTGTTGTTATTTGAATGCTAAACACATGTTATCAATTTCTTTTCGTCATCGTCTTCGTCGAAGACATATGCTACATGTGTTTGTCGTTTAAGCAGCTCAACTCTCAGCCCTTTTTGACTCCCTTTCATGTCACGATGAAATAAATTTTTTATATTAAGAAGAACACTTCAGTAAACAACTTTTTTTTGTGTATGTTATGTGATTTCATGCTTGAAAAAATATAAATTTTCATGCTCTCGCTGCTGCTGCTGCTTGTCGAGGGAATAACAAAAGTCACGGGTCAAATCGATGTGAGAACCTTATTGCAGTCAAATGAACCCTTTAAAAAACAATTTTTAACTTGCCAAATTCACAGAAAAAAAAACAGTTTTACTTTTTTTTGTTGGAAATTAAATCCCCAAAAAGTTTTTTTCAACGATTTTATAAAAACAAGTTTTCGAGTATCAGATTACATTTTTTATGCGTCAGTGTTTGCAGGAAAAAAAGCAGATGAAGCTCTATTTTCATTTTTGCGCGAAATTGTGAGGATGAAAAAGTTGATTGACTTTATGAAGCTTGAGAATTTGTTATGATGTTGAATGGATTCTGTGAAGCAGGAAATTCTGATCGTATTACTTTTTATTGACGCCTGGGTGCTTGGTTATGTTTGGATTCATTTTTGAAAAATATTTTGAGTTGAAGTAATTTATTTGATTATGTGGAGCAGTGAACATAAGTTTATGTTTATATTGAGTTTAAAGAGATAAAGCTGTGAATATATATTGTTAATAGGGCGAATGTAATTCGGTTTAAAATCTGGATTTAATGATGAAAAGCATTATACAGTATTTAAATGGGTTGTCAAGCACCAAAAGCATGTCTACTTGAATCATTTCTTGTATTTTAAAGGATTTTGCCATCAATTGAGTTTCAAGTTAAAAAATTAAAAGAACGTTGATCTTTTTATCAAAAATTGCTCCAAGCGTTCAAGAACATTCCAATATTCTCGAAAAATCCAGCAAAAGCTCTCAACACCCCCATAAAAATATCTCTCAACATTCAATTAATCCCCCAAAAAAAATAATTTAAATATCTCAATCATCAATTTATGTTCCAAAAACTTCAAACAAATCGGCAGTCATGTCAAATCTATTCGATTTCCTCTCGAAATTTCAAACAAAAACGAGCAAAACTGCTGACTAATGAAGCCCAAACATCTCACAAGTGCTTATTTGCAAAACGCTAATTGACTCGACTGTGTATAAGTGTGTAAATGTGTGTAATTAGACTATACGAGATATATTTTCGCAGGTGAAGCTGAAAAAAAAAATTATTTTATCTCTCACATGAATCAAGCAAGAGAAGAAAATAAAAATTTAACACAAATAAGAGTCACGTTTCATTGTCAAGGTCTAAAAAGAAAAACACAACAAAATACAAAGTATTGGCAATTTTATTTATTTTTTATTCGCTAATAAGAATTTCTTGCAAGCACTTTATTTCTGCAAAATCTACAAGAAAGAGACATAGAAACATTTTAATGACGCCAGGAAGCACATGGTCGACCAGTTTAATTATCACATAAGAAGTGAAAAATTATTCACAAGCAATTAACAATATTCGATTTTTTTGAGCCGTCTGTACAACCCACATAACCGAAAAATAATATAAATATAAATGTATATCGGTGACTTGTTGACTTGTTATGATGTCCATTGATGTCCGCATTTTGTTGAGAATTTAAGAAATATTTTGTGTCCGAAAATAAATTTAACACTCTTTTATTCTGCTTGTAGTGGCTACGATAAATGGTGTATCAATAGACACAAGAATGAAATTTTTATGTTCTATAAGATGAAGAAGAATTTAGAGTTCTTTTGTGTGTTTTTGAATATTTGGGATTTAAATATTTACTTTGAAAAATGACTAAAGTTTCGGATGCAGAGTTAGGGGTTTTGGTCAGCTTTTAAAAGATATTTTTGTGACTAAACATATTCTGGGGAATGCACAAACTTCAAAAATAGTAACTGTACTAATAGCACTCAGGTTTACACCCCAAACATACCAAAAATTACCATACGCTATTCTGTATATTCTTTCATCGACTCTAAATACCTAAACGACATGCAAATAAATATTGTGAGAACTTATAAACACTAATGTTAATCCTGTATCATTTTCAAAATATGCAAACTAGCACCAAATTGCTTAAAAATCTGTGAGATATTTTTGGGTATTTCTTATCTCAGTTTTTTCCATCTCATACAAAGCTTGGCGTTTTATCGATTCCATAATGATCGTCTATTCATAATGATCATCTATTACAATAATAATCTAAAGATGTGACACGGAAAAGTCATTTTAAGGGAAAATAAGAGCAAATTCAACACATTTTGGATTATCAAAAATGGCTATGAATGTGATTTTAAATGTTCTAGTTCATTAATAATGAGGTTCATAAATTTTAATTTAGCGAAAATGCTGAAACCATGTCGAAATACGCTTCTGATTTGAATGAAATATTCATTAGTTAATCATGTTGAATTTAAATTGATTACCTGAACTGGATCCGCATTGAGAATTAAATTTTAGTCGCTTATGGGAGAAGGTTTGGAGTTTTTTGAAGAAATACACATTTTTTGTGTTACAATCAAACAATTTAACAAGAAAGATGCAAGTTTTTATGACAGATACAGTTTGCTAGTTGCTCTTCATATCACAAGCCATAATAAGACACAAATCCTCAAAACAATCATATTTCCAAATCAAAACAGTTCAACTTTGTTCTCACAAGCTTGAACTAATTGAAAAAATTATCAATGAATCCCAATATACAGAACATCCTCCAAAATTTAAATCAATAAATTTCAGATTAAAATTTTGTCATTCGACTCATAAAAATTACCGTTGAATTAATCTCCTCATCACAAAGAGATCGCGATCTCAACTTTCTCATCGATTGGTCTCCAAAAACAAAATGCTGTTATAAAAGTTAATGCAAATATTAAGGCTTAATGTCATTAAACAATTTTCGGGGTAAATGATTCTACGACCACACAAAATGATTTCCTGAAAGTTTGAGCAAATTATTGCAGGAATTGTGAATGATTTCGATAAATAATATAATTATATTTTTAAGAATAATTTATGAAGACATCTTGACACGTAATTCATGTCAAATGGATTGTTTATTATGAAATACGTCAAATGGATTTCAGGTATTCCGATTAGCAACCAACAAAAATTGATCCTCTACAAGTTCATTTCACTCTCAATTCTAGTCAACTAGAAGCAATTTAAAAAGACAGCGAAAAATTCTAAATTGCTCGTTTATCGAAAATTAAAGCAATCAAGTAATTTTGTCAATGATTGAATACTTTATA